TGCTCCCTCAGCAGTGGACTTCTGTAGATCTGCCTGTTCTGCTCCCCACTCTGTCTCTGGGGAATCCTCTCACCTCCCGCACCTCTGGCCTGTACCCCAGTTCTGTATGCATAAATGAATCTTTAAAAAAAGTAACGGGGTGCTGCGACACCTCTGCTCCTGCCCGCTGCCACCCAGCAGAGAGCACTGTCCATACCGTACCCCAACACTGCCCAGGGTTCGCAGGTGTAATCGTGTGGCTTTACTTCCTTTGTGTGCGTGTGCACTGAAGCTGAACCTTAATCAAAACGGCCAGGGTCTCACTTCCCTCTGTGAGGGTGGGGGAGCCGCCTGCCCGGTGGGTGGCTGGTGCCTCCCCGTCACGGGCCATCGCTCTGTGGTCTCCACACAGCAGCTGCAGCTCCTCAGAATCGCCCGTGTCGGGACACACGTGACGGTGACGCTGCTGGACAGGCAGGTGGCCTCACCTGCAGCGGCGGCCCAGCCCAGTGCGGCCCGGGGCTGTGCACCCCACTCTCCTGCTAGCCCCTCCTAGCTGGGGCTGAAAGACCCCCAAGGAGATGGGGACCCCAGTTTCAGTCAGGGCCTCAGACCCACGAGGGGGTGTCCAGCTGACGCTCCAATGGCTCAGAATCTTCACCTCATTTTAGAGGTGAAAACCCAAAACCCAGCAGATTCCAACCTGGATTTGTCTCCTTGGTGTCCGTTTTTTTAAAAACAAACTTCTTATATGCCCATTCCGATAAATTCAGATCAGATGGTCAGAAATAGATTTAAAGGATACATTCTCTTTCTCACCACCATTCAGTTCAAATCCCAGAGCCTTGACGTCTTGAGTTTACAGTTCCCCTCAGTTAATGCTTACGCAAATTTGCTTGGACACTGGAATTCCATTTGTGTATTGCTTTACCACTGGCATTTATGAGTTAGCCATGTATTCTAGACCTCTTTCCATGTCCAGTAGATGTCTAATGTATATTTGCCCACAAGGATAGTCAATGGGACTGAATTTTTAAAAGGGTTTATTTGTGCATGCAAGAGCTGCGGTACAGGCCAGAGGTGTGGGGTGTTCACCAGAGACAGTGAGGAGCTGACCAGGTGGATCAACTGAAACACATCGCTGAGCGGGGCAGCGGGGAGACAGGTCTCTGCACCCTGCGGGTCACTCCCTGGGGGGGTCGGGCTTGTGAACTCCCGCTGGGCTTTAGCCCACTGCGCCTCCAGGGAAGCCCGCTTGTAGATAAAATGTAACGTGCTGCACTGGACAGGTACGAATCAAACGTAACGCTGAGCAGAAGTCCACCCGGGGAAGGATGTAAGGAAACCTGGGAGTTCGGAACTAACGTGGCTGTCAGGGTACACAAGCTGCCTCGCCGGCTCTAAGGAGCAGCCCCGCCTCCCTCCCCCCCCCCCCAGACACTCAGCTCCTTGTTAGTGGCACCAAGGTCATCTCCTCCAGCTTCATTCAATGTACTGTCGGAATGGGGGAGTCACCAGGAATCTAGGCGCTCTCTCGGCACTGACACGAAGACATGGACGGCATCACCACTACTGGGCAGGGCCAGGCCCGTCCAGGCACTAACCCTTGACTCGTGGCGGTTCCTTCTTCAGCGATGCCCCATTCCAGCCCCTTCCTTCCGGGGATCGCGCCTCTGACGCTGGCTGTAGAGCGGGCGCAGAGGTGGCCACGGCCCGAATTCAGAGTTGCATCTGCGACCCAGGGTTGGGAGGGAGGGGGTGGGCCGCAGGGCCTCCAGCCCCTTCGCGCGGTGGGGGCATCCTCACCCGGCCTTCCTCTCGTCACCACAGCACTAACATTTGCTGGCCCACAAAGCCACTCCAACATCCACCTAATTTTACCAAAATCAACATGGAACCAGCTTCTAGAAGGCAGCATGTGCATTCTGAGGGTGGAAGCAGGCACCCAGAGCTGTGAATAGAACCGCAGTTTCTTGTTAAGCGGAATCCACCTCCGACGGTGTGAGACTTGAAAGACAAATTAAGTTTCTACTCCTCGTGTAAACTGTTTCTGTGGACCATGTTGGCCTTTTATCTCACGTGTGTGGATAGTGCTTTCAAAGGAACCATCCTAACTTGCAGAATCTATCGATGGGCAGCGTGGGCTGTGCTCTGGCGGCTAGTGGGCTCTCTGCAAAATAGTTCAGTATATTGTAAAATATTAAGTAAAATCACCCTAATTAAAAACAAACGAACAACGGTCAAGGCCAAATTAGGGCTTAGATCCCAGTAACCTGTTTAGCAAGAATTAAACATTTTACATTGAAAGAGAAGTCCAAACATGTAGGAAGAAAGCGCATCAAGATACCGCATCGGGCCTCCCTGGCGGCGCTCCGGGCTGAAGCCAGACTGCAGCCGGCCACAGCCGCTTCGGCCCAGTTCCATCCTGGCCAGGGGATCACAGGGCGGGGTCCCCGCTGCTCCCTCAGCAGTTCCCCAGTCTGGTGAAGGCTCTCACCCCCTGCACCTCTGGCCTGTACCCCAGTTCTGTATGCATACATAAATACATGTTTCTAAAGCTATCTGCATTACTTTTCACTTCTGGGAGTAAATGATTTTTTCAGTCTTTCAGAAACATAAATCCTGACTTTTCAGAACCAGCAACCCGCTTGTCCCCCACCATCTACTCGACTCCCCTACTTGACACCTACCAGGTCTGGTGCTCTCCAACTTTCAACTCTTATCTGCAAGCCCAGAAGAACTATGGATTGTGAAAGGCTGATGTATCTGGGATTTACACATCAAGATCAGTAAAAACTACTGGAATCTAGCTCCAGTGCTGGATTAGTGGGGAAATGTCCAACACATCATGTTCCCAGACACTAAGCAGGGCTCCCAGAGGCCAGACTCAGTAAAGGGGAACATCACAACAGGGCGGCACCATTTTTGAAAATTACGTCATCGCGGGATGTGCGTCTTTAAATAGGTGGCAAGTTATGAGTTTTTAGCTTGTCCATGGTGGGCTTAGCTCGCTGACTTAGTACTGACAAGACAAAGAATGAGGGTTTCTGTTAAATTTTTTTTTTTTAGATTTATGCCCCCCCCGCTCTCCCCCCTCACAGGGCACAACAGCTTAAATTGCAGCACTAGGAAGCTGTAGCAGCCACTTCAACACGAGTTCCATCCCCGCCAGGGAGGGACCCACATGGTGCAGCAGACCCCTCCTGTCTCCCCACTGCTCCCTCAGCAGTGGATTTCAGTGGATCCGCCAGTTCCGCTCCCCACTCTCTCTGGGGAGTCCCCTCAGTTCTGTATGCATAATCTTTTTAAGATTTTCATGTAAGTCTTTATACTTCATCTTTTTTAGAAACAGTTGAGACAATCCTCCTCTGACTGCACATTTCCCCCTCCTCGGGGCAGGAGGGCTGAGGAGTGCCAAGGAGCACGGCCAGGTGTCACCCCGCTAGCATGGCTTTGGGATGTTGCACCTAGTGCACCCGCACAGGTGCTACAACTGACACCGGGGGAAAAAAAAAAGCTTAGGGCAACCATCAGGCTTCCCAGTTCGCGTGGTCAGTTTCTACAGCTGAGAACCCACCTGGTCTGCCCCCCAGCCTCAGGCCCTCGGTGTGACCCCCTGGAGCTGGCCGGCCCCCCACCTCCCCCCAGTTGGCCACCGCGCTCTGCCTCTGCTCCTCCAGGTGTCCCACTTGGCTTCCAGTGGCGCCAGCGTGCCCCAGGACCCCTGGGGCGGACCCAGCGAGGCCCAGCTCCAAGCACTCCTCCCACCAGCCTGTACCGTGATGCGAGGGCAGGTGTGTTCTCCCACTTTGGGGCGCCCAACTGAGGTGCTGCCCCGACCCTGGGCCTTGCATAGCCCAAGCAGCACAGGTGTCCACACCACTGCCTGACAGCTAGAAAGGAAGAGTTAACACCCACGGAAAACGTGGGCCACACGAGGCTGGTTTCGTGTTTACTCCGCTGAGAAGCGGTGACGCGGCCACCTTGCTTCAGAGGGTGCCACGCTGCTCCCCCCCCCAACATCTTCAGAGTACAAACGACAGACGAGCCCCAGCAGCAGCCGTCGAGACCGTCAGATGAGTTAACTGAAAGGAAGGCAGAACAGAAGCTCACGGCTCCAGGGAAGCACCTATCATTAGACTTTATTGTTGCTTTGAGAATCAGCACAGACATTTCACGTTGCACACGATTCCTTACGTACCAAAACACCTTGTGGTTCTTTTCTAAACGTTCATCCCGGAGACTTCCCGCTTAACCTTTGGAGCAAATTTCCCTAACTGGACGTCGAGCACCAGGACCCTCAGATGCTGCCGGCTGACGCCGCCGCCTCGCTCACACTGCTTAGCGCCACACGCTACCGGCAGCCCCGAGCGGCCGCCGAGCGCGCGGCACTGACGGAGCCGGGCCCAGGAGTGGCTTTACTCAGGACACAACTCACTGGGAAGACGACGAGGGAGCAGACGTGACTCTAAACACCGAGACGGTAAATGCACGACCGGGGCGACAAACTGCCGCGTAGGAGCTTTGTACAGCCGGACGTAAAACTCCCCGTCAGGGAATGCTAAGCAGACACCCAGCCGAAGCCTCCCGTATTCAATACCCCGCTGTTTTCTGGTTGTACCAAAAAATAAACAACCAGCAAATGATTTCACCTCTTAAAAAAAAGCATTTACACTTAAAAAATGGGATGAGGTGGGTTTCCCTCCTTCTTAGAAATGTTTCTAGAGCTACTAAAAAACTTGCATTTACAAAATAGTTGATAAAAATATTCCTCTGGATTGTACAAGAAGGGAGCTGGCGCACTGGTAAGACATGGTACGTGACATTAATCAGACTTGGCTTCTTTCTCGCCGGCGGCGTCCGAGGCGGGACTCTGCAGAGAGAGGACAAAGCACCGTCAGGCGGACTCCGGCAGCACCGCTGCACCCGACGCCCCGCTACTCGCAAATCCCCCACTCTGAATTCACCGTAGCCCCCGGGTCTCACGCCAGCGCCCGCTCGGCACCCGCCGCGAGCACACACCTCCTTGCTCTCACTGTAGTGTCAGGGTCACCTAGAGCAAAACCCGACATCTCGCCGATGGTGTTCCTGATCGTGCTCTCTGGTCTACACCTGCTAGGGTGACAGGCTGCAAGGTGCCAGCTCAGCGCTAGTGCCCAGAACAGCCCGACCGAAGCTCCCAGTGTTACTGCAGAGCCGGAGCGCGTGCCTGCAGGGCCAAGCCCGCCCGCCGCAGCCACCAGGGCCTGCGTCAAGCTCCTCGCTTTCTAGTGGCTCAGTAACAGCACCCCAACAGTATAGATTTGATGGACTGAAAACTAGAAATCGTTAAATGACAATTTCCCAATTTAGGTGTCGCTGATTTCTTGAAGAACTGCCCTGAACATTTAAAAGCTGCTGTTTTCTAGTTTACACAATATAACATCAAAGACTTGCCTTAAGAAAGGTACTTAACCAGATCTTGCAGCTGACTGAAAATGTTTGGTCTAAGTTATTACTACGTCCTAGACGTAGTAATAGAAATGAAGGGGGGAAAAATGTGTCAAATGAGAACACTGACTTGCAGAAGTTACAAGTGATACTCAGAATCCACAAAGGCCACAAAGGTGTGACAGCAGTCTGTGAAGCACTTCTTTAACACAGCCGAGGTGTGAAAGTGTCAATTACAGCTGACGTCGGTCAGTAATTCAAAAGAAAAAAAAAAAAAAAAAAATCAGGAACCACATGAACAACTGCAGCAGGCAACAGAGATCATGGATGTGACTGGTGAATTTCTAAATATATTTAAGTATCTGTCCACATGTCCAAAACACCGTTTTCCTATACACCTGCACATGACATTTACTTAAATAACCTATTCAGCTGGAGTTACAGCACAAAACTTTACAGCACTAGAAAGAAAATGGGCTGTCTCTTCAACTTCGCAGAACTATACAGTTTTATTATTTACTGTCCAGGGCGAGAGCCCAGAGTGCCTCACCTCCTGGCTTTTGGTCTCTCCGTTCTCTGCAGGTAAGTCTTCTTTAGTTTCTGGGTTAGCCACCTCAGCCTGCTTCCCCTTCGCTCCCCTTTTCCCTTTTGCTTGCACTTTTTTGTCTGAAGATTTATCCTGACAGAAGAGGAGCACATTTTAGCTGTAAACTTCACACTGACATTTGTTCTAGAGTGGTGCCACAAAATGGCAAGTTGATGCTACATCACGTGGAGCCTGATCACCCGAGACACCGTGTGGTTCACCCCAGTTACCAGGAAGATGCTGGAAGCCGAGGACATGTGTAGGTCACAGGCCCTCTCCACCTTCCCAGTCTCCCACGTCAGCCCTGGAGAGAACAGGCAGGCCAAGACTACCCAGAGGACGCCCCCCACCGTAACCCTATTCACCCCAGAGCCCCTGAGCATCGACAGTGACCAGACTATCAAGCCAGTACCACGCTGCATGCCAGGTGACTGCGGGCTAGTCAACGCCCTGGGATCTCACAAGCAGCTAAAGGCTCACTCGTAGAGTTTGTTGTTTTCATTTAGGCATTTCAATAATCTGCTAATCACAGGTGTTCCGAGGACAGTCAAAGAGGCGTGTAATTTAAGCCACTTTAAAGCAGTACGGAAGAGGACTTCTGAATTATTTCATCAACAGGAGAGCTTAATTCTTAAATCCCTCATGAAGAAAGAATACAGCACAAACTAGTGAGGTCACCCGTGAGTGGGGTATAGAAGCCCCCACGAGACGGACCAGTGTCGGCCCTGCCTGCCACAAGCATGTACACTCAAGGCTCAGTGCCAGGAGGGAGCAAATGAGTGCCCCTTCTGTGTCCCTGTGGTGCCCCGCGAGGCGAGAGAGCAGGACAACTGCTGGCCCAACCCTCGAAGGCCAGGAACAGACGTCTGGACACTGGCTGCTCCCAGGTGCCTGCCACTGAGTGTCATAACCTCTGCAGCCTGACTAATTTCTCCCTAGCTCGCAACCACTGGTCCTGTGTCGCGCAGTTAACACAGCAAAGCCTTGAAAGAGCAAACAGCACACATACCGACTGAACGCGGTCGCGTGCTCCCCAGCGCACCTCTGCAAGAGCGACTCCTAAGAAAACTCCCGAGTCACGCACCCCTCTCTCCCCACTTCCCTGTGGTGGAACCGAGCAGTTTCTTCCCCTTAAACAACACTGAGACTTACCTGGTGCCCCCACTGAGGTGGAAAAATGACGACTCTATTATATCTGATGTCCCAAACCCAACAGTTGTCTTTGGAAACGAGAAAATGTTAGGGCTTATCGAAAAGAGATTAGAAAAACCTGAGAAGTACAGTACTTCAGCCAATCGTTTACTAAGGCAAAAACTCAAGGCTGTGTGCAGCACAGCACCCCCGCCAACATTCTGCAACCCTGTGCCTGCCAGCCTTCCCCGAGGAACCCAGGACAGGGCTGCAGTGCCTTCTGCAAGAAACTCTAAGGCAGTTTACCACACTTCTCCTCTCCCCACCCCTTTATTTAAAATCACAGAACTGACCTCTGTTGAAGTTTTTTATACACAGCTCGGTACAAGAACAGAAAAATAAGAGAAAAAACCTTCGGTCATGCAACATTGCGATTCTGGGAAACTTTTAGGAGGATGGTAATGGTATAAAGGATTTTTAGGGGGTGGGGAAGGCTTGGGGGACCTGGGGGGTAGTTTTAAGTGAAGCAAATCAATCACCCAGAATTCCCGAAGACCACGCCGCTGTGCTAACGCCTACACAAGGTCAGACCTATGGATGACAGCCCGACTTTCTTTCTCAGGTGATCTGACAGGTAACCAGGCTCAACTCACTGCAGGCGCCTGTCACGTGGACAATCCAAGTGGGTTCCAGAAGCACCCCGCTAAGTCGACCACCGGGGTGTCTGAACGCGGTCCTGCTCCGGGCACCCACCTACTGGGCTCCCAGTCACCCCACAACACACCGCCCTTTCTCCCGCCTTAGCCTCCAAGACTCAAGAAGGTGCAGGGCAGCCCAGAGCAGCCGCGCTCCCACGACGCAGGTGCCTTTGCCGCTGATTCCCCGTCGGAAAGGACCCGAATCCCGGGTAACACGGGGCAGCCCCCACCCCTAAGCCAGGAGGGGTCGGGGCTCCACTGGCCGGACCAGGGAGGAAGCGGTTACCCTAGTCGCTAACACGTGGGTGGCGCGCATGGCATCGCCCGCGCCGTGTTCCTGGACCGGGGTCACTCGGGGCCACGTCTCGGTCTCGGTCGCCCCCGCCAGCCGTCGCGGATCGGGGGTCCCGCCGCCCCCGCGCCAAACCTACCTTTCCTGCCGTCTTCTTGGGCTTCGTCTCCACCTTGGCCGGGACGGGTTTCTGAAAGGCAAGGGTGGGTGAGCCCCGGCCCGGCGCTGGCCCCGTGGAGGCGGCGTCGGGGCGCTACTCACCGCGGACAGCCTGGCCGATCTCCTCTTGGGCTGCGGAGAGAAGGACAATGAGGGCGGGCGCGCGGGCCGGCGGGCGGCTCCCCCCGGACCCCCGGGGCCGCCGCGGGCGCTTACCTCCTCCTTGGCCGCCCCTTCGGCCGAGCTGACCTGCGGGAAGAAGCAGAGGGGAGTGGACGCCGCCCGCGCCCGCCGCGCCCGCCCGCGAGAACAATGCCCGGCCGCGTGACGTCACCGGCTTCCCGCCGCCGCGTTCGAATCGCCCACCCGGCTCCCGGGAGGCCGAATGTTCCAGAAC